TCGCGCGGACGTGTGTTGGGATCGCGAGCGCCGGGTCGTCGCGCCGCGCGCAGAGCTCCGCGGCGCTCGTCACGCCGCGGTTCGCGACGAGGTCCACGGCGCGCTTCTTGCCCACGTGCATCTTCAGCGCGTTGATCTCGAAGACGACGCGGCGCACGGGGTCGCGCTGCCACTTGTAGAAGCAGTCCTCGCGGACGACGGCGGCGGGCCCGCCGAGCACGAGCTGCTCGATGTACTCCATCCAGCCGCCCGTCGCCGACGTCGACGTCGCCGAGATGTAGTGCTGCGCCTCGAGCTGTAGCCGTAGCCGTCGTCGACGTAGCCGTTGTCGCAGATCTCGCCGGGGTTCTTCCAGATGTTGTTCAGGAGGTCCGGGTGCTCCATGACGATGCCCGTGTCGATGACCTGGACGACGACGACGTTCGGGTTGCCCATGGTCGTGTCCCAGGCGCCCGGGACGTTGATGGCGTCGTAGTGCGGCTGGCTCCCGAGCTCCGTCTTCTAGGCGTTCACGATGAAGTTCGACGCGTCCCAGATGGCCTTGTCGAAGGTCGTGGCGCCGTCGTTGAACACGTGCCGCTTCGCCGTCGCCCGCGACCTGTCCCAGCCGTAGATGTCGTCACTGATGGACTGCGCGCCTTCGAAGAGCTTGCCCGTCACTTTCGACGCGTCCCAGCTGCCGACGGCCTCGTCGAAGGTCGCGGCGTGCGGGTTCACCTACGACGCGTTCAGGCACCGATGGCCTCGTCGAAGGTCGCGACGCCGTCGAACATGCGCTGCTTCGTCACCTCCGAAGTGTCCCAGCCGCCGATGCCCTGTTCTACCAGGGTAGGCAGCCCCTCAGCCTTCGCCGGGTCCGTCGTCAGCGTCGCCGCGAATCGAAACGAGTCCAGCGAGAGGCAGTTCAGCAGCGCTTCGGGTCAGACTGAGGTAGACCCGCTGGCCGGAAGATGGGAGGACCGCCCCGGCTGCCATCGCGCGGCGGCAAGCCTCAACGTCGGCTGCAGGGTCGATTGCACGGAGCCGCTCAGCCGCGTCGAGCTGCTCTTCATCGAGAGCCTCCTCGCCTGCTGCCGAGCGCCGATTGCAACATGGACGACGCTCTCGTGAACGAGCTTGCCGCGATGGCCCCCCAGGCCGCGGCGGCCCGCCTGCAGGAGCTGCTCCGCCGCGCCGCGGAGGGGCGCGCCGCGGCGGCCCAGCCCGGCGCCGACGGCGAGGGCAACGACGACGCCACGCCCTCGGCGAACGACGACGGCGACCTCGAGGTCGAGGCGTTCGAGGCCAAGGCCGCGAAGCGCGGTGCGACGGACTCGCCCGCCTCGTCGCGGACGGCCTCGCCCCGCCTCGACGCGGCGGACGCGCTCGTCGCGTCGGGGCCGGACGCCGCGGCCGCCGCGGAAACGCCGGCGACGAGCGCGGCCAAGGCGTGGGGCCTCGGGGCGGGCGGCCAGTACACCCAGGCCGACTTCGACCGGTTCGAGGCCTGGGTCGCGTCGTGCCTCGCCTTCCTCGCGCTCTCCGGCGACGAGGGCTACGTGCCGGACTCGCTGCACCCCGTCTTCGAGTGCCTCAAGGACCACGACGGCGTCCGGCCGGCGACGGTCGAGGAGCTCAAGGAGAAGGTCATGTACCCCAAAGTCAAGTCGCGCGAGATGCTGTGCATGGCCGTCTTCACGGACGTGCCCTTTCCTTTGCGGCTCTCTGCTTCACCCGTCATGCCTCTCTGCAAGGCGCTCGCGGCGTTGGGCGTGCCGTATTTCCCGTCCGCCGGCGACGGCGGCTACGTCCTCGACCTGGCTGACTCTCACGACATGGAGGGCGGACTCAAGCTCCTGCGGTCCCTTGGCTGGAAAGGCCCACTCGACTCGAAAAAACTGCAGAAGCGGCGAGCGGACGCGCTGACGGCGAGCGGACGCGCTGACGGCTCGCTTTACCGGACGAATATCGTCAGCATTGGTGAGAGCAATCACACAAAATCGGTGGCGCGGAAGGTGGACGGGAAGCGCGCCGGGCGAGACCTGATCGAGGGCACGGAGTCGCAGACCTACGCCGCGACGCTCCAGGCGCTCAAGGACATGTACCACACGTTCAACGAGGTGCGGGCCGGCCGGTCCGCCGACCTCACCGCCAAGGAGCTCCGGCAGCTCGCGGCGGCCTACTCGAACCCGCCGACGGGCACGGTATTCTGCCGCGCGTGCGGCTGCGACGTCACTCTGCGGGGGGTGGGATACAGGGTACACGAGCACTACATGCGCTACGACGAGGAGGCGAAACTGTGGCGCTACTACATGCTCGACGCCCCTTGCTGCACCCCCTGCAACCTCGGCGTCATCGCCGCCGTGCGGCGCTTTGGGTTTCACGAGCTGCCGTTCCTGGCGTCCAAGGCGCGGACCAGGGGCATGCTGGAGGACGTCTGCGAGTCGCGCGCGGGCAATTACTTCGTAGCCTAAGTCTACGGGCGACTTCGACGCCGTCCGTACGCCTTGCAAGCGCTTGGATGCCCGTCGGCCCATCGGCGACGCGCATGGACCGCGAGGAGACGGAGGCGATCCTCGGCCGCTTCGCGGCGGCGGCGGAGGTCGGCCTCGCGTCGACGGCCGTCGGCTCCTACCGGCGCGGCAAGGTCGGCGGCCACGACCCGGACGTCATGCTCCACGCGCCCGAACGCGTCGGGCTACTAATTCACTTTTAAGGCGGCGGGTAGGCGAGCCTGAGGCCCGGCGACTCGTCGCCG